AAAAATCCCTAGTACATACTAATGAAGAGAATTTTTGCTTATTCAGAAATCATGGCTCTGTCCTCATATACGACTTGTAACAGTTCAGTGTCAAAAGTAAAGAAGCAATCGTCTTAGAAGAGAGAGTCACAAGAACATGTACCGCATTTATTTTTCATATCACTAAATAATAAGTCACACAAATTGTTATGGAAGAGATTTCCCATAGTTGATAATTCCATGCAAATGTCTCTCATTACCATAAATTTTTAGCTGCAGAACCTTCAAGAAAGCTTGAAACACATTGCGATGAAAGTCCGATGCATTATAGCCACTGCTGCTTTTACATTTAACTGTTGCATAGACTAAGAATATTCTACTTTTACAAATATCGGCAACAGTCAGCAGTTGTGGAGCTAATTAATGGCAAATAAAAGACAAAAAACCAAATACTTCACATTAAACCAGAACAAGTTATTAACTTCCAAATAAACATCAATAATTTAAGAAACCTACTAATCATTGATTTAAATAAACCGAAGAAAACAGACCCGATATAAAGGGCTGCCTGCTTGAGCATCTGGGCTACCTGTTCCTGCCATCTAGATATTTTAACAAGTTATCTATTTTTGTTTGTTTTAATATATTATTATGTTTATTAATCGCATAACCTATTCTGCTGCGTTTCTGAAAATTGTACAACCTTTCGTTGTCAAAGTTACAAAAAACTCAATAAGGAACAATGTAGTTGCTGGCAATATACGACGAAAAGAATGTACATTATTCAGATGTTCATTTACTGAACTGCTAACATATAACTGGCGATCACTCAATATTTATCGCCAGGACCGACCAAGAATAAAGCAACGGAAACTTGTTGAAATACTTTACGCTGAGAATTCTATATTGTACCAAAAACATAATATTGAATAAAGCTGATAATAATAATAATAATAATAAAACTTAAAGAACTTCTGCATTATAAGCAGAGATGTGTAGTGACCTACTTTTATCAAGTGAACGCGATTGATTTAATGGAAACAATCATTATTATAATTAATTGTACCAGTGATTGTTTTACTGTGCTCGTTTGTTTAAGTGTGCTAAAGACAGCTATATTACTGCTCCATTATCTTTCGATTGTGACCTTGCACGGGTTCGGTTACGCTCGGTAACCATGCTTGTACACCTTTGGCACGATCTCGGTATTCTTTCGATATCACGAGATCGCCAAAAATTACATCTCGACTACAGCCATCAACTGCCTTCTGATATTTGGCTTACAGTGGATTTTATCGGTTAACTGGCACCTGGTCTTCTTGTAGTGGTGTTCATATTCAATCGCGACTTCACGCCATACTACAGATGGATGGTGGCTTGCAATGGATTCTAAAATGTACATTTGGTCCTATATCGGACAGGTCAGCTGGTTATACCCGAATGCAAGAGTTGATGCTCATTCCGAAACTCGTACCCATTACCCTCCATTTCAAACTTTATCGCATTATCCACTTAGCTAGGTAGTCCAGATAGCCACTAGCTTGTGCAAAATGCTTGCGACTTACTAACAATATCGAGGCAATCCACACAGGTTTCACATGTACCAAAAGCGAATGATCATTTGTAGTCTTAAACATTAATGGAAAGACCTAAACAACCAATATATGAACTGAAATTCCTGCATTACCTCATAAAATTATAATGACTTTCAAGTGTCCTGAATATTAAAAGTTATCAGTAATCTCAAGAATAACGAAATTACTGACAAAATTAGACAGTAACCCAATGAACAACTTTATATTATTTTGTTTATGAGTAGATATGTAAAGTGGTTTGTCTTACTTTTTATTTTTTATGAGTGAATAAACGGTCCTAATTCGGAGTATCAAATATAAAAATAGGGACGAATTTGACATTTGAGTGGTGTTTGGGTATATAGCTGGCGTCACAGTCTCAGTGTTGAAACATCAATACTTTTTTGTTTTTATAAGCTATTTACATTCCAAGATTGTAATAACAGTATACTGTGGTCACAGGGGATATGATACTGACAAAGTAATCAGTGTCTTTCTACAAATACAAGACCAGTATGACAGATTATAAATAATCCATCATGTTTGAATTTATACAAAACAATTTGACTTGGATAAAAACGAATGACCGGCTGATGCAGTAATGCATATCCATACTTACCCAAGTGTTTGCAACTTAAAACTGAGAAATACTTAAATCTATAGTACGGTAGAAAACAACTGTTATAATGAATGAAATACAGTTCGACAAGTTTTAATAAGTTACATCAATTCGAAAGTCATATTTCAACCTGACTACTCTTAACACGTTGAAATATTTGAGGTCACTTCATGAGAAAAAATAATTTAGATTGATGAGAATACTCAACGTTACCGACACCACTATGTTATAAATAGACTAAAATATTATTTTACACAACTTTTTACCCCTTCTTAATGATTTCACTAACTGAGTCTGTACTATTTCTGAGCCATTGTAGGTCCTAACATCAGATAAAAGAGAAGATTTAGGCATGGAGTAAACAATCACCCTCCGTAAAAAAACATCAATGTTAAAAATACACCAACCAGAATGAACAATTCATACCATTTAAAAACTGCCTTCAAAGTTAAAGGAATAATTACGACGTATCACAGAAAAAATCGAGATTTTTCGGTAGTCATAAGGCTGATATCCTTTACAAAAACCATAGCAACGTAAACCACAACAAGTATCACCAAAAGGAATAAATCTCTCCCGAAACCCTGCGGAGGAACAACAATAAGACAATAATTAACAACAGCCCAGCAAGAGGAGAAAAAGTCAAGAAACACGATTGACTGGATAGTGAAAACCTCCACATCGGAGAGAGCATGGAATACAATGGACAGCTCGGAATCAATTACACAACTTGAACTCCGCAGATGACCTGGCCCTTCTTCTATCTCAAACACACCAACAAATGCAGATCCAGACAGCCAGTATAGCAGCAGCAGCAGCCTCTGCATCAGTAGACCTCAACATACCCAAGAAAAATGTAAGATCCTCAAACACAACACAGGGAATACCAACTTAATCACACTTGATGGAGAAGCACTGGAAGATTTGGAAACTTTCACGTACCAGGTCGGCAGCATCATCGACGAACAAGGAGTATCGGATACAAACGTAAAAGCAAGGATTGGCAAAGCAACAACAGCATTCCTGCACTTCGAGAACATATGGAACTCAAAATAACTGTCAACCAATATCATGGTCAGACTTTTCAATACGAACATCAACAAAGTTCTATTGAATGAAGTTGAAACTTCAACAACTAGCACAACCATCATCAAAAAGGTACAAGTATTTATTAACAATTATCTACGCATGATACTTCGTTTCTGTTGACCGGATACCATCAGCAACAACGTACTGTGGAAGAGAACAAACCAGCTTCCAAATGAAGAGGAAATTAGGAAGACATTGGAAGTGGATAGGACATACATTACGGGAACAATCAAACCGCAACACAAGACAAACGATAACTTGAAATCCTGGAGGGAAACGGGAAGGATGAAGAGCACACTGCTTCGAGAATTTGAAGCAGATATCAAGAGGATGAATAGCGGCTGAGAAGAAGCACCCAGGATAAAGATTGTATGTAGACTACTGATGGTTGGCCCACGCTCCTCCAAGAGGGATATCGGAACAAAGTCAATAGTTATCATACTAGTGCAGCAGATTAGTTCAAAGCCATGAGCTAGAAACCTTCAGTAAGCTGTTGAATACTACTCATCATCTTCCTCTCATCGGTTTTATCCAATGGACAACATTTTTTCCGGTAAATTTTCATATGTTCTTCAAGTTCATTAAGAAAGCAGGATATTCTTACTCTCAGGTAGTATGAGTCAGGGTTGATAGACATTGTATGATGTGGCCTCAGTAGAGGATTACTTAAAGTAAGCCGTCACATCATTCAAAATTATACCTACTGGATGCAGAGCATCAATTGAATTGCGTAAGTAATCGTCTTGTATTAGCTGCTGTGGAATATCCACATTTCAATCAAGTGATCAAGTATGAATCATGATGGATATATTTGTTTGGTACTGCCGCACTAATATTTTAGTGACTCGTTGGTCTAACTCCAATTTAAAAGAACGAATAAATATACCATGAACGTAACTTAACCCTGCTTGTGTGACTACAGTTGTAGCGTGGCGTCGAGTTGAGATTAACTATGAACACCGCTACCAAGAAACACGTGCCAGATAAATCAGAAGGCGAGGATCGAACGTAACCAGATTTATTTCGTTGGCGATCTCGTGGTATTGAACGAATACCGAGATCGTGCCAAGAAATGGTACAAGTGGAAGCAGAAGACAGGAGTACGTGCGAACAGTACCAAAAACCGCGGAACAATGATGGAAGGTAATGGAAGCACAAAATGGCTATAATTAGCACAGTTAAACAAAAGCACATTAAAACAAACACTGGTACAGTTGGTTATAATAATAATTGTTTTCATTAAACCAGTCGTGTTCTCGTGATAAAAGTGAGTCACTACACAGTAATGAGAAGCTAAATACGGATTGCGTTACATGAATTTATTTCCAGCACTCGTTTGTTCGGACAGACAGTCAGAAAGGCGATACAGAGAATGTGAGACGAAACGGAGAAGACGAGTGAGCTAATTCAGTTCTGTGAAGTGTGACACAATATTTACAACCAAACATAAATAAGTCACAGACATGTGATGAATGGGGTAAGCAATACACACACATATCCTCATGTAAGAACGGCCAGGGTAAATATGCTAATAATCCACATGTTCGAAGTGTGACTCAAGGAAAATGAATAAAACGGTTTATCCAGAAGCTAGGATAACTTATGTAAGCTCCACATAACGATAGCTGAAAGTACAGTACATTGACACATATTCGCAAAAAGACTGAGAGTGACCACGGTTGGTTTGATCAAAATATATCGAAATTGGTTAGTAACTCTGTAACTGAAAACTTAAAATGGATCAACATTAAATTCAGTAATTCATAATCGCATTCTTAAAGTCAAGGTCAGTCGAGCATAACCAATTTTACTAGACGGGTTTCGTGCGCCTCGAAGTTTAACCATATATGTGAGTTATGTATGGTTTTATTCTTTAAGAAAATTACAGATTTCTACGCCATAACCTTTTCAGATTGTCAGCATTATGCTACTCAGAAGGTTAATATTATATACACATTTATAATTATGTATTATTACCTGATGAAGCACTTTAGTGTAGGGATATTCGGTCACAAAATGTTACGGCTCATCAACGAAACTCACCATGTAAAGCCGATTTTGTTCGCAATTTCATCTATTCTGCAGACTATATTGATTAGTGTTCAAGAACCCGAGCTCCCGATTTTCGGGAAAATTTGACCCATTTTGGGGAGATCGCTATTGTAAATTTCGGGGAAACGGCACCAAAACCCCAACATTCCCCCTGAATTCCCCTTTAATCTTGGTCAAGGTCATTCGACTTTGGAGTTTTACCGAAATTCCCCCAAATTTACCCAAAATTCCCCAAACTTGAATGATTAGGAACTAATACTGCATTATTAGTTCGCGAGTTGATGTTGCTACCTGTATTGTCAAACCCACATCACTTCGCCAGTACTATTTTTTTATTTCGATTCTTCTCTCACTTCAATGGTCGGAAAAACCGTATTTACGAAACATTTATGACAAAAATTCTGTAAAAATGCTGGGAAATGACACATTGGAGTTTCTTTTCAGACTTACGGAATAACTTACATCTCATGAAATCGATGTTATAATTATGATCATCTCTTAGCTTCGCACTCAGGAATTTTTCTACTATTTTATTACTCCTGATACTGTTGCTATATTCACGGCTCTGGGATTTGTCTTGATAATTTTATCTCTGACTAATACATTTGTGTTGAGTTCCTCGCTGTAAACGACTGTTTGAGTTACCACTAAGGTACCTATCTTTCACTGGAATTCAGCGTTCAGAGCTAAAAATAAGAGATTAAGAGACCTGGATGCACCTATGTTTCTGTCCTGGACATGTCATCTGAAAGAATCTGCATTTCAGTATTAAAATTCCCAGTGAACTTCAATACCGCGATAGCCACTAACTGTTCAAAAGGGATATCTGTTAATAATTGTTCGAATAATATGGTGAGTAGAGTGTAATTCTGATAATTAAATAGTCCACTAAACAAACCTAGGGGAGCTGAACCACATATTTCGTCGTTTATTCGTCCTTATATCACAAAAGTTGTTCTTTAATTATATTCTATTTTGGGATGTTTTCAATTTTCATACATTGATTAGACATACGAAAGTCAATTTTTCTAATAAAAAAAAACTAACGAGACCATTTTGCCTAAGCATTTTGACTACGATAAGTCTACTGTCGAGCACCAACGTAAATCTACGGCTTGTCAACTTTGAGGATAATATGCTTTAAATATTGGTAAGTGTTCTACTAACAAACTAATTGTAAGCTTACCAACACCACAAACAAAACATAGACATTTATTGGTTGCAGTTTTGGCAGTTGATAATGAAAGTCAAACATAAAGAGCACCTAGATATTCAAGCATCTCCTACAGGTAGTAGCGTGAAATATATATTTCAGACACTAGCTTCCTGAATTGTTTGATTGAGTAAGAGAATACGACAAGGAAGTGACAGATTGAATGATACGACACACTAAGTAGATTCCTTGAACACCATGTGCGTAATACCGTATTTAAAAGCTAGTTATGATACAACATAAATAAATGTATATCAGGAAGAAAATCGTAAATATATATTAGAATATTACAAGAGAATTGACTAATTGAGGTAATGCTAATACTACAAAACTAGGCTAGTCGACTTAAATCTATAGTCTGTCAAATACGGTTTTAAATGATTGAATTGAACAATCGCAACTGAAATATCTGTGCTATCGTTTCTTAGTATGATAAAGAAGTGTGGTGGCTCACAACTCTGAGAAGGCATCAGCATCTTTGAAATGCCACACACGACTTACTGATAAGTATCAACAAGCAAAAACACCAAGTCTAAAGCTTCGATTACACTGGCACCATACTGTGATATCATTAGACGCAATGAGTCAATCCAGGTCAGTCAAACAATCATAACGTAGAGGTAGTAACAGTATCAATGGTAACACGAAAGATCAGGCTTCAGAGACACGACTCAAAGAGAAACTATACATTAGTGAAATGAAAACAAAATAGTTATGAGGAACTTAGAATTTCAGGATTTGGGGAAGACAAGAAACGGATGCACCTCCAAGCAGATCGTATGAATGTTTGTTATCGCCTATCCTTGTATATAATCATCGGCTTAAATCGGGTTAGTCAATAACGGAATTAACGAAGTCAAATAACGTGAATGGACTTTTGAATAGATATATTTTTTATATGGAGCAAATGAAATAGAAAGAAGCGAAATGACGCGTAGTAAAGATGGCGGGTAGGCCAACTCTATTTAGTCAAGCGTTAATCAATATTTATAGCCACACAAAAATAAGTTACGGACATGTGATGAACAGGATAAGAAATGTACACGCATATATGCGCTCATATAAAAACAGTCAAGATTGATAAGCGAATAATTAACAAGGTCAAAATGTGACTCAAGCAGAATGAATAGATTGACCTGTCCGAATACTAGAATAACGTATATGGGTTTAACATGTCAACCGACACTACATGAGTTTTCAAGCATCTGTCGGTTCTGTAGATGCCGCCGACATCCACCGATTTTTCATAACCTTTTGGTTCAAGTTACTAGTAGATTTCACTGTTTCCACAACCTTTTGATACCATTTTCACTGTTGACTAACTCCTCTAGTCGTCCCTGAAATATACTAACTTTTTTGTTCTTAAGTTAAACTCAAAGCAATTTTCTCGCTGCGGATTTTATACTTCCAGTAATACAAACAAATACGAGTTCACACATGTGCTCCAGAATCGGCGACAATTTTTAGTCGAGCCACTCCAACGATGTCTAATGGCAGTGTGATCTTTTTGGATCTATCGATGAGTTGGTTGTGGAGGTCTCTATCTGACAGTAACCTTCAGTTCTAAGGTCACGTATTACAACTACTAAATCTATGAAATCGGTTATTTTGAGTAATCACATTCCATTTATTGTGTAGCTTTTATCACAAAATCTTCTGAAATTTATAACTAATGACCACTGATTTGTTCACTCAACCAGTCCATTCAAGTCTTTGTGCAAACTTATCAGATGCACTTTATATGCATTCCCATATTTTAATATCATCAGCAAGCAATGGAGAAAATGAATGTGAATACTAGATAGATTATCCACGTAAGATAAGAACGGAAGAGGGTCTCAAATTGTTGACTGAGAAATTCCACTCTCCACAGATTCTCATGATGTCAAAGCATCTTCCATCGTTTTCATTCAACTATCTCACTACTACCCCTTAATGCCTTGGTACTACCCAGAGTGGAAAGAGTCCATTCTTTTCAAAATGCCTTTATGCGATAGTGTTTATAATATCTGTCAGGTAAGTCTTACCACGGTAATGTGGTGGTGGCAGACTTCCAGAGTTTAAATGGCGTCGATAGATACGGAGGGTCTGTTTAGGATAGTTTCAAAACCCTGGTCCCAAACTAATTGCGTACATGAGTTTCAAGAAACAATGTGTATGGATCTATTTTTGTTACCAACTACTATAGAACCTCATCTGATGTTACTCTACTGACTTGTAAATTGAGCCTTTATTTGGAAGTCTCGGAGCGTTGTCTCTTAAGAAAACCATCTGCTTCTGTTTGAGTACTCCGGCAGTCTCCCGCTCCATACTTGAATATTCAGTGTGACGCATACTATTTTCGGTGCTTAGTTGTACCACATTTTATGTGAATAAAATCATGAGCTCACCACTGGGAAAGATAATATACATATTCAGTGCTAGCACTGACTTGTGATTCGATGTAAACAATATAAGAACTTATTACTATTTGTAACTTAGGAGCAAATTTTGTGTCAATAACCACTTGTTGAATGTGTTTTCTATTGTTTCCAAACAAGAACTGTGATGTGTGCCACTCATGCAGACATATTTAAGTAGTATGTATCAAAAATTGGAAGTGGGATTATTACTGACAAAAGAGGAACATCATGTAAAGAGAAAGAATGATGGAAGCAGTTCAAGTAGCAATAAAAGTGCAAGAACGATGGAATTTGTAAGAGATAATTCAAGGAAGATATGCAAATGATTTATTCAGTGTATTTTTTTCATATTTTAGAAATGCAGTATGATTTTGCTTAATACAATAAATTAGTTTGCCTCGCCCAAGTCATTATAGAACCACTTTAATAATTAAAAATATGACAAATATTGCCACGGATGCTTCAAATTTTCCCATCGATTATCGACTTACTATAGTTAAAGTTTATCTAGACACTTTGCTTTCTTTCTTAAACGTACAAATTAAAGCTTCCTCTTTCTCGAGAAGTTCTCTGGTTATTAACCACACTTCGAAAAGTTTTAATTTTAAGAAATACATTCACAAGCTTTCTACTTTCTGATTTTTATTGAATTCAGTTCATATCTACCGATATATACAACTAGTTAAAGTATCTTAAATGATAGTTGTTATTTTTTATTTACCGTGTCATTTGTTTTTTTTTAAATCAGGTGTATCGAACAGTTTATCGATGTTGGAAGAAGTTAAACATTCTACTCCAGACTTTCGTACTCAGAAAAGAAAGTCTACCAGAAAGAGTCTTCTTATATGTACTCCTTTTCTGACTGAACAGAATTTAGATGAGCATACTTTACCTAGTGATGTAAAGTCAGATAACGAAATTAATGACGACGGACTAACTGATGAACTTGCCAAAAGGTATCAGGGTGAAAGTCGGAAGTGGGATCAATTGGTAGAAGAATATGAAACACGTTTGATTCCGGCCGATAATCAAATCGATATGCCTTCCAAAGAATGGATTAAGACAGATCGTGTAACCCGTAAATATGAAGATATAATTTTTCCCAAAAAGTATTTTGATTCCTATGATTGCCTGGACAGTTTGGCGGACTCTCTTTTAGACACACATAATGATATATTTTTTGAGTTAGAGAAACTTCCCCATTTAATCGAAAGACAGGATATGTTTTTAAAGAGCTTTCGGAAAAAAATGCGTTTGAAACAAAATATTTCTCAAGATTCATACTTCGGTTCAGCATCACCATTGTCTGTTATATCTAACTACCTTGGAGCTGAAGTGTGACGTTTTTTTAAAAATACAACTTGTTTCCACATATTTATTAGGTTAATAGCTTCATAATAAATAAATCTCAATAGAAAACCCTTAATTCATAAAACGATTATTTTTATGGTGTTTCATTTTTCATTAAATGTGTTGAATAGTATTATCGCCATTTTGCCTGCGAATAAGCCTCGTTCTTTGACAACAAAAAAGATAGAAACCTGTATTCTGCTTAAAAAACTACTTAGATGTGAAATGTCAATAACCTTAAGATCGAGACTTGAAGTCGCTTAGTTTACGATTAAGTTTAAACACAGATTAGTCTAAATGAACTTCGTTTCATTCTTAGGATTTACTCACATAACCCGCTAGTTTGAGAACTGAGTAGTGACTTTCTTTTTCACGTTGGTGGAACGTGAGCCAAAAACTCGAAGCGAAGATTTTTATCAAACAACATTTGTTACTCAATTACAGTTCGCTCTCGTATATTTTGTTGTAAGATCAGTAGATATTAATTGGGATATGGTGTGAATCTTTGCTCACTAATTACAGCTGTTATTCGCCTTTCGTGATTTGGTTAACCTTCAATGTTCTTAAAATTAAATCATACTAGACTAAGTTAGGAATTATTTACTTGTAATTGGCATAATATTGTTAGTCATTCAACACGACCTCATTATGTGCATTTGTTAATCCTAAAGTTCAATAGTGTTAGCTGAAAAGAAAGCTAGATGGTGGTTGGAGGTAGTCGACAGGAAACCCTGGACCCGAGTTTCGTGCTACTTGGCACTCGTCAAGCAAAGTGTACCTGTAATCTCGAGCGAACTGGTGCTCCCTGACGGATTCGATCTCATGTCACCCAGCTTCACAGTCACAGACGTTACCACTGAGCTATCCGAGCCGCGACCGACCTCCTGTAGGACTGAGATGTAATCACAATTGATTGCGTGTCTAGTCCTTGTTAGTGCAGATCGAATGATATCAACCATGCTGCAATGTGGCCACCAGCCTAGGTGACTCGACACCGTGGGCACTATATATTGAGATTAGATGGTGGTTGAAGGTCGATAGCATTCGATCTGCACTAATAAGGACTAGACACGCAATCAGTTGTGATTACATCTCAGTCCTACAGGAGGTCGGTCGCGGTTCGGATAGCTCAGTGGTAACGTCTGTGACTGTGAAGCTGGGTGACATGAGATCGAATCCGTCAGGGAGCACCGGTTCGCTCAAGATTACAGGTACACATTGCTTGACGAGTGCCAAGTAGCACGAAACTCGGGTCCAGGGTTTCCTGTCGACTACCTCCAACCACCATCTAATCTCAATATATAGTGCCCGCAGTGTCGAGTCACCTAGGCTGGTGGCCACATTGCAACATGGTCGGTAGCATTCGATCTGCACTAATAGGGACTAGATACGCAATCAATTGTGAAAACAAAGTTTTTACTTTTATCTGGTCCCATAAAATGCTCGAACGATTTCACAGTATACTTATGTTAGCACAAGTTTCTTCATCAGTCATGTATTCTTTTTATGTTTCCTAAATTTCGATTTGTTCAACGCCTTTTCTCAAATTATATATGATGTATTTTACATTTAAACGTATAAGGTAATTAATACAAAACACTTAATCTAAGAAGTAAATTTCAAAACTTTGGTTAATACATCTATTTAAGACGATTAGATATGTATTAAATATGCGATGCCAAAATCGCAAAATGAAGATAATCATTACTTCGAAATCATCTTATTCTTCACATATTGTATTCGCTTTGGATACTTTCTTAACTTTTTTCAAAGGTCTGAAGTTATAGAACGAACGAATTCTTCGTAGTGCACGTTACCATCACTATCAACTTTAGCTTTTTCTAACAATGCATCCATTTCCACCTCAGTCAAATTCTCACCCACCGTACACAGTGCACGACGAAGTTCAGAAGCTGAGAGGAAACCATTATTTTCGACATCAAATGTACGGAAAGCTTCAACGATATCTGATTCCGTGTATATTTCATTGTACTTTCGTGATGCTATTTCACAAAATTGATCAAACGTTATACCTTCAATAAGTGCTGTTTTCTCTTTGTCCACGTCAGCTATCAACTCCTAAAACCCAACAATTAATACAGACTTTGATTAGTTCACTAACCGTATAAGCTAATAGTGAATTTAATAATGTACTCACTGTTTAAGCAGAAGCTAAGTCATGTCAGTACTAATAGGATCCCTGGGATTCTTTCCTACGTTCCTCTATTAAGTACCGGGCTCACAACTTTGTTGTTCACTTATAAAGCTCCATAGGTATATGGGGATACTCCACCTACATCCCTGTTTTTTAGATTTGAAAGATATTTTGAAGTTAGGGCATTGATAAATAGATTGCGATTCTATCCTAATGGTATTGAAAGTTATCTAAATACCTAAAAGATAATAGATGTACAAACTGAATACATGCATCTAAAATTATGGTTTTTAGGATCATATACTCCTTTCTGACCCACTAAAATGTTATATCACTCTTGTATTGGGCATTTTCATACGAAGTATGAATGGAAATGTTGCTGGATGCAGAAAATAAAAAGATATGGAAGTCAACAGTGGATCCGGATATGCTCTTTCAAGGAACCAAAGTGTCTTGACACTACACTACTTATTACAATAGATGTCATATGTATTTATGTTAGTTTCCTGGGTTTCGTGTGTGGAGTAGTCAAACTTCTTTATCACAATAGGTAATGAAATATAGACCACTACTAGTAGTTGGCAGTACTGTTTAAAAACTAGTCCGTAGTGTGCACTGACCTAAGACCACCGTTTGGCATAGTAGTGTTTTCGTTTTGGATAAACAGAACTAGCGGTTACTTTCTAAATAAGCACTACAAACTAAAAAAGTTATTTCTCAAACCAGCTGTAGTAGTTAGGGTGGGTCTGAGTCTCTTTTTGTAGACGTACCCTTTAAACTTCTAGTTGCGTAATTCTTGTTACCTTTCATCTATATAAGACCCAAGTCAATAAATACAGGTAATGCATTACCCAGCAGTGGATAGCTTGCTTCCAGTATTTGTTAGCTACTTAGTTCCAGGTCACATTTTGCAGGACGTTATATGATTTAGACTTTTGTTTAAGGACCATATTGATGAAACTCAATATTTATTTGGTTTTTGCATTAAGTAATCGAATTATCATGTGGTGTTTGATCTCGAGACATCTAACTTTATCGAGTGTTTTTCCTCTTGCTGTTCAGTATGCTACATTCAACTTTAGCCTAGCTCATATCGAACAGGAATCATTAGTGGTTCTGTCCGGTTAGGCAGAGTTTATGGAATTATAATTGAGCTACAAAGATGTAGCAAAAGACTTAGAATTATACTAGTCAGTCAGGACATTTGTGTAGAAATGTTATTGTTACGTTACATTTAAACCGCTCATAATATAACTAGCATTCGTCTTTGATAAGTGCATTTGCACAAACTTTTACAAAACAACTGGAGAGGTAAGTCAGTGGATCGCTTTACTAAATCTTAATACATATACTACGGAAGAAATAGTATCTTCATAACTGTTCTCTTTCTGTATTATAAATGTATCAAATACTTCTTCGCTTGGTTTGTTAGAATAAGTACTAACTTGAAGTATTGTTGACATATTTAGTCCCGACTACATAAGTCACTAAACTCATCACATTAGTTAAATATGTTTAAGTCATCATAAATTTAATCAATACATTGATTAGATTTTAGACCCTTAATAGTGGGGTTTCCGGAATTCCAAAATGAATAAACTCACCTCAATTTCTAGGTTTGATGGCATCAGACCTACTCTTCTTATCAATACAGTTACATCTGGGACGGAGACTTTCCCTGTTTTGTCATGATCTAATGCATCGAATTGTGCCTTGTATTCAGTTATCGTCTCCTCTGTTAGTTTAGCCTTATGATTTTTGGCGGATGATGTCATTTTTCATCTTACAACGAGAGATTTTGAAGACGACTGTAAAAACACAAAGAAAATGGTCACGTTAGTCAATCCGAAGAACTAAAATGTACGATATTTGTATCTTAAATATCTTAGGGAGTTCCTAGCACATTTTGTATTTAAATCCATTAATAATAGTTAGTTCCCGGGAATAGTATTCGATGCACTTCAGTATACAAACATGGTCAGGTTCGTGTAAATTGCTAGGTAATGATGGTCAATTTAGGTTACACAAGGTTGTCTAAATTCACCAAGTTTAGCAAGGAGATTTAATTGAGCACTAAATATGAAATCCTTGTCTTGACATATAAATCCCATTCTGAAATTAGGCATCTTACTAAAGGCTTGTCCTTTTCAGCATTCACTAGCAAATCCAGTGGAGTATCCTGTATTTTAACAAAAAGAAGGGACATAACTGTCTTTTGTGCTATCCGAATCAGAACATCTGACTTGCAGCACTGCAGATTATGGTTTGCTGATCGTAATGCAGTAAAGTCTAATATATTCAAGCCTGAGTTGCCAAACACTTCTATGACAAATTACTTGCATATTCAGTCAATCCACTATAGAAGATTGGATAGTGTTCGTATACAGGTTTGGTAGTTTGTTCAATCCCAGTAGAAAGGTTACTTATGTGGTCATCAGAGTCATGGAAGACGACTCACGTGAACAGGGTATCACCTACTATGAAATAAATACGAACCATGGACCTAGTTAAGCTTATTCCAATTGGTATCAGTACCAAACGCTGACCACCTATTATTATTTTTTTCAAGTATCACTTCTCAACACCCTAGAACCGTGTAAAAAGTTTTTTCCAAATAATTCATATATTTCAGCCATAAATACAACTTTACTTTAAGTATTCCAGAATAATCATGTCTTTCTGTCTAGGTATCTCCATTGACCATGTATCTTCATCGTGACAGAACAAGTGAAAAATAACCCTGGTTATATTTAGTGGAACGTCACCATGTTCTTTTTGTTAGCCTGAGACGTTTCCGAAATAAGAATATGTTACACAGCATAAAGTTTATACTACCTTCCTACAGTTTCAGACGCATCAAAGTATAAGACCTTTTAAAGGCTTCCCCGATAATTTAGAGATCAAGTCAATCAGGCGGCGTACATCTCTTCAGAAAGTGTTGTGTGCTTTCAAATCAAGTTCTCCGATAACATGTTTAA